TATATATATTTATACATATCTATAGAAAACTGGCATCAGAATATTAATTAAAATAAAATATGTGGAGAGATGTTTATAGACTAAAAAGCTTTTGACGAGAAAGACCATTCTATTATTATGAGTAAACTAGTAACAATTAATGTTAACTATAATATTTTAACGTTGATACAGTCTTTTGTGTTGATTATGAAACAAGTAGTCTCATACAGCAAAGCTCTATCCCAGACTAGTACTTTAAATGCTGGACTACCCTCTTGGCCCTCTGTTGTTTGCTTTTTTTTACATAAATGATCTTTCGTTATATCTGTCATCTTCTTGCGATCTGTTCGCAGATGACTGTACCGTCTATACAAACGTGTAACGATCTAGAGACGTCTTTGCAAGTAGTAGACTTAATCAATTTAGTTAAGTGAAGCTGTGCAAACCGCAAACATATGAACATTAGTAAAGCTAAATCTATATTAATTTCAAGATGAAAATTATACTCTCTAAATTCACATAGGATCCCTCAGCTCTGCATCGGTTGTACCCCAGTGGAAAGTGTTAACTGGGCTACAAAGCACTAGGCCTTATTATTGGTACAAATGCAGGAGGACAGTGGGTCTATTCTATTCTTTCTTTCCTCCGACCGAGGCCCCGGAACCCACACGGAGATCCCGACAGACAAAACAAGACCAAAAACTCAAAGCAATTCAATATCAGGAGTGTTTCCAACAAATGAAACCACTCTAGAACATTCGACGTGAGTGAGCTAGGAATGTGCTCACGCTCAGCCCAAGTAACTGCAGCGCAGTTAGCAGTCAAATTAAACATCCCACGCCGCACAGGCCAAAGTTACAGGTGCGAAAGGAATGTCCTAAACTTAAGGTTACCGAGTCAGAGGCGCCAGAAAATGGAAGACGGGGTAAGGGGTGCTCAGGCACCTTGCAGCACTCTCGAAAAATTTTCAAATCCTCCCCCCCCCCCTTTCCGATTTCTTTCCCAACCATGTTATTGTTGGCACTTTTTCGTTTTTTTTTTCCAGACGACAGTGTTAAACTGTGCTATGGCAAGGCACAGGAATCGCAGCTCATGATGAAAGCGAGTGTGACGAGCAAAATCCGTCCGCATATAGCAAAATCACCACAATTAGAGCATGGGATTTCAGGACCGTTGTTGTCATCACGTGTCTTTAGCTTGAGTCTTCTCAGACGCTTAGCTCTCAACCTATCTGCGATCATTGTTCCTTTATTCCTATTGATGACGGCATGGAATGTCTCAAGTGGAGTCATGGATGAAGACAGCATACAGAGAACACTGCGAATACCAGAGCAAGATCACAACAACAAATCAGATCCTTCTCGTAGCAGATACATTATGAAAATGAAACAGAGGACAGCAACCAGTCACAGAGATCATAAAATCCGGCAACATAAAGAGTACTAAACTAACCAGTCAGCACTAAGATGACAGCCCTACAAACAAGACCTAGCTTGACAGACATGGAAGCTACAACACTAAGAAATAACAACATGAACAGGATCCAAAATTTTAACTAATGTTATCTAGAAGAGGTTAACTCCCTATATAGCGGTTGGACTTGGCCAATTCACACTGATGATGATGATAATGATATTCACATTTTCTTCCCAATTTTCTCCCTTCACGCAACACGGTCATGTATAAACGTTCCATTTTTAATTACTTATCTATTCGTTGCTTATTACTTCCAAAAAAAGTGTACTTAATCCGTTTCTGATTTTTGTTCCCTTTCTCTCTATTTCGGCGCCCCTACCCACCATAATAACGGTACAACCGGCATAAGAGGGGTTAATTTATGGGGCACTGCAAGCGCTATTTATGAATGAAAGAGGCAAAAATCGTCAATGAAATAAAGAATGCTGGGAAGGATTGCAGGTTTTGCTTCCGCGGGCTGGGCGGTTTTGATTTTGGTGAAATGTGGCAGAGAATGTGAAAGTTGTGTTGAATTCTTCGTTAATGTTCAAAGATAGACAATTTTCTTCTTCTTCTTCTTCTTCTTCTTCTTCTTCTTCTTCTTCTTCTTCTTCTTCTTCTTCTTCTTCTTCTTCTTCTTCTTCTTCTTCTTCTTCTTCTTCTTCTTCTTCTTCTTCTTCAGTAGTTGGTACAGAGTGGTGTGGATTACAGCTAGACTGCGGTATCTTCGCATTTCGGCTCAGCCGCTTCTATTTGAGCAAACCTTAAACTATCCGTCCTTTGTGATATGCTTGTTAAAGATGATGGTTCTATTCATCGCCTCCCTCAAAACGGGATCGCCGAACCCACACTGAAAGGATATTTTAAATTATATCTTCTTCCTTTGTCCGAATCCGTAACTGTGTTTTGTCTTTTACAGTGCAGCTGCGATGTTTGCGCATTCCAGCCGACACATCCGACTTGTGATGCATTTGATATCCTGCTTAGCTTTCCCAGTAAGTTTAGTAAGATACAGCACAACCTTGTTGAGACTGATTAAACAGAGGTTAGTTAGTCGAGACGCCCGGGTGAAGTAAATAATAGTCACTCTGCACTAGACCTGGCATGTTGTAAAAGGCGACTAGAAGTAAGGCTGCAATTGGCTACTTCCTCCTGTAAAGTACAAATAACGTAGAAAATATCTTCTTTTTCACTTCCTCCAGCTGCTTTGTCAAAGTGTTTGTGTGTGTTTGTGTGGGTGGGGTGGGGGGGGGGGGTTGGAGGAGGAGGGCTGATCTTATGTGTGATATTTCTAGTGCGTGGTATAAGCTGGTCTTAATTTCTTTGCGGTAACTAAAAGTTTGACACCGAAAGACTCTGTGCTGGTGGCAGACAGGACAAGTTCTCATACCCTATTTAACCTCCCAGAAATTTATAATTAGGGCACCTAACCATCGCACCGACGTAGTGTGATCTGCAGTCCTTTGGGAGAAAGAATATACTAATACGGTACCGAAGAATTTCTATGGCTTAAACGTTGCTAACGCACTTCGTAATGCCGGGGTGCATTGGTATCGAGAGCCAGATAGCAATGGCAAACTAAGGACGTAAATTTGCCTAGAAAAACCATAAGCCAAAAACAAAATGCGCACTTCGTAATGCCGGGGTGCATTGGTATCGAGAGCCAGATAGCAATGGCAAACTAAGGACGTAAATTTGCCTAGAAAAACCATAAGCCAAAAACAAAATGCTGGAGTTGGTTCTGCGACGACCTGTAAAGGAAACGCAAATAACTTAACATAAATATATTGCCGGTGTGATGAGACAGTCTACATTCTTCAACATGTCATGAGAAGGAGAAGACTAGAGTACATCGTGACAGTGGGAAAACTGTGGGGGGAGGAGGGGGGGGGGGGCGAAGCAGAGATCGTTCGCGCGGTGGCGAAATATAGGTTAGTTCCTGTCCTGTTCATCCTTTTGAACGAAGTTTTTCGCAAGTGACACAGATGAGTATAATTTATTTAGTACATTATAGACCTATGTAGTCACTTCATAGTTAATGCATATCCGTGTATGCGTTCTGTGTTGTTCTTTATGTGCTGACGAAGGCTAGTCGCCGCAACGTCCTTTGTTTGTTCATTGTGATCGATTTGGTAATGCTGACATAAACTATTTCTTCTTTCTTACCACTTTTCTTCTCTTCCCTATAACTCCCTACCCTTTTAAAAACTCTATGAGAAGTAAGACGTTTGCAAGAACCAAGTAACTGTGAGTCTGCAACGATGGCCAGACTGTAAGAACAAGTTAAACCGTGTGTGGCCAGACAAAAGCACTATGCAGGAAGCCAAAGATTAATAAGAAACCAATACAAAATTGGTGTTGTCAGCCGCTGTGCGCTGCGGGAATTACTGAGGGGAGCCGAGCACTTATGAACTGAATGGTTTGATGTGCAATGAAGATAATGTGTTGACTAACTAAATTTACAGTCATCATGGCATGGAAGTTGTCTCTGTCAGGAGTGATTAAAGATAAAGACACAGAAGTGTTGTGGATCGACATGACTATCAAGGCCACACGGCACAGACTATACAAAGTATAGAAGAAGATGGTCTGTTTAATGTTCAAGTAAGAATCAACCTCACAGCATTCGGGACATTCCCATAAGCGCCCCGTCCCAATCTTCAGCAGCTAGCTCAGAGTTCCAATTCCGATGGTCTGCTACAAATTGTGAACTGATGTTGACGGAAGTTCTATGACGCAATATTCCCAGAATTCTGTTGTCTCGGTCCGCCATTACTGCTGCCTTGGATGTTTCCAAACCATCTTACCGTCGCTGGTTTCTCGTCGTTTGTTTACATTATGAAAACGTGTGAGGCCCGCCTGGTCTGCCCGTCATTACAGTTATTATGAGATTCATTCGATTTAACCAGGCGTGGCTGAAATGAGGCTCATTTACAGCAGGCATTGACCACTAGGCTCCAGCTGTTGGACGGCGGTTAGGTCCTGGTTTCTCACTGACTCGACAGTACTTTAGTGTCTCGCTTTTGTTGGTTTGTGTGGCAACAGTGGACTGCATACCACGCCCAGCGACACGACTGAGAATTCGTGACCCGGGGCTTCATGAAAGAAAACTACCTGCATCCATCAGCTGATATTGTCGTTTTATTTTAACATTTGGTGCTGACTAGTACTTATAACTTAACTAAATAGTAATAATTGCATCTGCCACTTTACGTACGTACAGATATATCTATAGTTCTGAGTTCTCACTATACTAAAAACGCCTCATAAAATGCACTGAATCACGCCCTTACTCAAGAAAACCCAGCGTTATAATTTTTAGCTAAGAAAGTTAAAGTGTAAAGATTTGTGGTCTGATTTGTTTACTTATTTGAAATTTCGATTTGGATACATTCCAGTCATTATCCAAGAAAGGTACCCAAAAGCCTGTTTGGTCCTAGAGGACATTACATCCGAGGGTAATGAGTCAATAGTAGTGAGCAAGTTGTCTAGGCACGAACACATCTTCTGGGATACCAGCTGAAATCTGTTAATTTGACTGTCTGCCAATTTGTTAATTTCCAACTATGGGAGCAAGGCACATACCAAATGATAAGGTAAGAATTGGGTAATGTGTGGTGACAGAATTAGGAATTACCTAACTGAATATTTAAAAGTCCTCATCGTCATCGTAAACCACTTCTGCGGTTAGGTACCATGGGGAGGAATAATCTGTGATCCAGTGCACACTGGCTATTGTCATCCTGTGATGGTGTAAAATGTCTCAAATGATGTAGATTTAGCTTTGACCTAGCCAACCTCTTGCTCTCATAGCTGATCTTCTGATGAGATGCAGTGTAAGTTATACAAATATGCTGCCAAAGTGAAAACATTCATGGGGGGGGGGGGGGGGGGTTCTGAGGCCTCCCCTCCACCTAACAACTTTTCTGGCTACAGAATCTTCACACTCCAGGACATTGTAGGAACACTCATAGAAAAATCATGGCTAGAACATTGACCCAAACATTGAAGTGAGGAGGTCTATTCTCCGCTACACTAGGTGGTTACTGTCCGGGAAGAGATACATGTTGAAGTGCTGCAGTATTTTTCTGCGACACATATGAGGGTTTCCAGGAGGGGTGAAATGGCTGCAGCTGCTATTGACTTAAAAGATGCCCACAACAGCGTCACGTAAAACATGCTCATCAGATTGCTGTTGGATCTTACTATACCCTTACAATTTTTTTTTTTGGGGGGGGGGGGGGGGGGGGGGGGGGTCTCAAGGGACCTGATCTCCTAGGTTCCGGTGCCTGTGCTGTCTTCTTCTTCACTTCCTCTTTTACCGCTGTGGGTGTCGAGGGAGATATAAGGTTCTGTTTCTAGCTCTTCTGGCTGCCTCGACCATAGGCACATTGTGCTGTTGTAGAGTTTCTCTGATGTTATCCTTCCATCTTGTTCTTGGTCTACCCCGTGCTCTACATCCTTCTTCTCTTTCCATGTATGCTTTGTATGGCATGGTGTCACAAGGCATTCTCTCTAAGTGGGCAAACCATTTCACTTGCTGTCTTTGTATGTAATCCAGAATTGGTTCTGTGCTGACTTGTTCTCTTATGATCTCATTCCTGATCTTATCTCTTATGGTCACTCCTACAGCCCTTCTCAGACATCTCATTTCCATGGTTACTAATTTTCTTTTATGGTTTGTTGTGAGTGACCGTGTCTGGCACTGGTAGCACAGAATTGGAATAAATATGCTTTGACTGCCTGTGCTGTGATAGTATTTAATATTGCTGCATTCTAATGAGAATGGCCAAGCCACTTGGTCTGTTGTTTCTTGATGAATCAAATACAGGGTGTTGTTTCCACATTCTTCTGCCTTTATTAATCCCCCGTTCTCGGATTGTTAAGTCAGTATGTAAGGATAATGACTATAAAGTACAAATGGACTCATTTTATGCCAGTAATACATCAAGCATATAGTGCCAGACTCATTTGTATAGGCCAGTGAGCATTTATAACTTGAACTAGTTGTCTGCACATTTATCACATCCACAAATGACAGGTATTTCTGTTTGTAACTTTTATTCTTGTCGTGCGCTGATGAAAGCTTTCTAGCCGCAACGTTCACTTTTTATTGGTGGTTGTTGATAATATAAAGCTGGATGATTCTACTTTACTGTTATTTTATATCTTTTCATGATATAATTTCCTACTCCTGTGTGATGCTACCATTGTCCTGCCTGCCTTTACTCCCCAGTTCATTTCCTAATACAGATATTAGGCTTGACCTGACTGAATGACGTTCAACACTCGATGACACAAAGTGCCACCATTAAGATGAGGATCACCCGGTGACAGGTCCCAGAAACCACATTCAACCCATAGGTTGGGTTATACAAAATATCAGGGTCCTGGTAACAGCCAGGGTGGGGCTTTAAAACAACAACAAAAATTTTGTCCGACATTTGGGACGCAGTAATTAGGCTGGACCTGGGAGTCATGGTCAGTTATAAATAGAACCTCATAATTGCAGATTTGAACCTAAGACCTACATACTGGCAGACAAGTGTCTAGCCACAGCACTACCTTGGGATATAAAATAAACTCTTTCAAACCCAAACAGTGCACCATGTTGCACTGGATTTACTTGTACGCACCAGTTAACGTATTATGTTTATACATTTTATGTTTAGTCGCGTCAAGAGAAAACACCACCACAGTATGTTTTGTCTCACACAAGGGATGTCTGTCTGAGCCCTGTGGATGTAGAGTAACCATTTTTGTTGATGTCACGACTGACTCACTGGAGCATCACCTGTGACCTTCTGGGGTGGAAAGAGTTGAGCCTATGAATGAAGCATTGAAAACAAATAATTTAAAAATCTGCACTGAAAAGACAGAAATAAAGTCAGTCGAAAGAAAGAAGTATGTATTATATACATACATAAACACACACACACACACATGTATATGTGTGTATATATATATATATATAAGAGTGAAAATCCTAGATGGTTAATTGAATGTAAAAATCAACTTCTGATGCAGTAAAGCAAACCAGATACTGAGACCCCCCCCCCCCCCCCCTAATTTTTCAACAGCAAAAGAAAATCCTAGTCACCACAAAGAAACATCTCGTACAAAGCATATTAACTCTCACCATATGCTGTGATATTAGCAGTTGTAATTCAGAACAGGAGGGTCTTATGGCTTTTTACAGCTTGGGGCCTCATCAGTCTCAATTCGGCCCTGCCTTAAGTCGTAGTAATATAACATTGACTTAATCTCTACTCATGTTTCTTGTTTGCATGTTTCTTTGACAGATTAACCTGAAGCTGATTTTGGTGAGCGGCAAGACACATGAATTCCTGTTCTCTCCCACTGACTCTGCAGCAGATATAGCAGAATATGTCTACACACACTGGCCAGAAGGTATGCTTGGTTTTCTGTTGTTGGCTGTGCCTGTTTGCTTTCTGTGTTGGTGTTGCATATCTTGTTTGCTTGTTTGCATTCACCAGCTGTAAACCCCTGAGGAAGGACCTGGTTGTTCGTCCATTTCTGGACTTTGACTTTGTTCCAGGACCTCAGTTTTGTGCGGGTATCTGTTTTACAGATATTGCTTATTTGTATGCAGACTGTTGGTTCCTTGCCTCTCTGGCTGATACACTCCGATTTTGAAGGAAGCCCCTAATTGGTCGACTCTTACGACATGCTTGTTTGGGAGGCAGTGGGACCCTGGAACCCACACGGGTAAGGTGTTGCACCTAATAGCTTGTGTTGTTGTTTTTTCCTTCCTTCTCCTTTACCACCTCCTTCTCCTCCTCCTCCTCCTCCTTGATAATTGCTTTTCTACAGGATTGCTATCTTTAGGATTGACACTCAAGGATGAGACTCAAACAGGAGCACATTACAGAATTTCAGTTCATCTGTATCACATAACTATATAAGAGCATCCTCATGGTTGTGAAGATACCTGCAGTCCATTGTGAGGATAGTCATAATTCTTCTTCTTCTTGACCTCTGCTAAACATTGAGCCCTGTCTGAGCCATGAGCAGGCTGGTGCATTGGTTGCTGCTGACCCCATACATTGCTTGTCTTACAGTGTAGCTAGCTCCCTATGGGCCAGATCCTCAGATTCTGTCAGGAGTATTAAGGCACTGCTGCAGTACAGCTCAGGAATCTGTCTTGTCTGTTCAGCACTTAAATTTGGCAAATTCTCTTTATCGTATATTGTTTAGGCATGCTCAAAAACTGCAGCATCCTGTCCGAAGCCTAAAAATTATTGTTTGTTCCTGTCTGTTGAGTTTGATTATACTGTCACTTGTGTTGAAAAAGGAGGTGTGATTGCGATGTGGCTGATACCAAGAAATGATATATTAATCATATCAACTGATATCAGGAAGTGATTTCAATCAGTTCAGCTGATATCAAGATATTATTTCAGTCAGATCAGCTGATATCAAAGCATGATTTCAGTCAGATCAACTGACATCAAGGCATGATTTCAGTCAGATCAACTGACATCAAGGCATGATTTCAGTCAGATCAACTGACATCAAGGCATGATTTCAGTCAGATCAACTGACATCAAGGCATGATTTCAGTCAGATCAACTGATATTAAGAAATGATTTCAATCAAATCAGTCAGTCAGAAGAAATGTGCAGATAATGACCAAACAAGTGCGGAAATGGGAAAAACATACATGCATTCTTTCATTCATGCATGGATTAAAGAAACATAAATGTCTAAGGCAAACCCCGAGACATACATTGTTGAGAGAGGCCAAGGGCACTGGACTGGAAACCATTATGATATCGAGAGGATTGCAAAGAAGAGAAAGAAACGGACTAGACTAGGAGCCCCATGTGACATATAACAGAACAACTTGATGTGTCTTTTAATGTGACCAGTATATTTCGCTTGTGCCTTTTTTCTTAAAGTAATGAGTTAACTTGATACAGCTATTATTTTTGTTTGTGTGTCTTGCCCTTTTGCAACCGCGGTTTAGGATGCTGTTTGTTGTTTTGTCTGGCTTCATGGCCTAGAGGTTAGTGAATGCGGTTAACAATTTCATGATCATCAAGTACTAGGGTTCGTTCCCTTTGGTGGATGGTTTAAAAAAAACATTCCCATAATCCTCTGAAAGTAGAACAAGAATCGCACAGTAGAAGAAATTGGGGCCTCACCACATAATATAGCCAAAGACCTCAGTGGTACACTGTAATCAACCTTTATTTTGGAAGAAAAATTTGTTTGTTGTTTTAATTGATGAGAAAGGGTTAGGTAGAAGTGTTTTCTTGAATCTGTGCCTGTCTTTTCCTTGACCCTCTCCTTGAGCTTCCTAGGTCATAGTTTCCATTTCTTCTGCCCTTTTGTCCTCCAGTGAGAGTGTAGGCCATCAACCAACTTACACCAGGTCGTCCTATCCTTTGCTATTGAATGCAGTTTACCTAATGTCCTTCCTACACTGTGTTTTTTTTTTTTAAATCTGTCTTTATTCCTTTCACCCTCTAGATTAGGACATTCTAGTTATGTTATCAGGTTTTCTCATTGTGCATCCTATCCATAACATTTTTCTTGTCAGAATGCAACAGTACGCAGTACCCATCTGTTTTTTTTTTTTTTTTTAGCAAAACTGTAATGGACACTTTGTGGTGCGTATCTAGCACCATTTATTAGGTACCTTGTGATGAGCACTGGCACCTTTTTGTTCCTAGAAAAAAACCAGAGTCCCATCCATTGGCAGCCTCTTTTCTCACCTCCTGATTCAGTAGAATCTGTTTAGTCCTCTCCCAAAGTTTCACATTAGTGATTCAATCATACCCTTTAATTCCCTCTGTTCTACTTAGGCACCAGTTAATGTATGTTTGTAAGTCCTAGTTTGTGTTTGGTTAATTTATTTCCTGCACTTGCTTGCTTGTGTATTGATTTTCCTGCTGCCGAGGCAAACACTCGTTGTTAATGGTGCTCAGTTGTAATTTTCTTGTTGTTTTATTTCATTCATTTTGTTTTAAAAAAGCTTTATAAATGTCAGGAAGATAATGTACTTGCCTGGTCGCACAGAGCATTTGTTGATAATTGTTCTTTTTTAAAAGTGCTGAGTTGGCGAGTAGGTTAAAAACAATTCTTTCTTCTGTCTGATTTTAAAGTTATCACATATAAGCATCATATGTTTTTGTGTTTGCCACATTGGTGTCTAATGGGTAAAAAAACATTTTTTTACTTTTCATTTTAAAGTTATCACTTATATGTGGATAAAAAAAAATTCTTTCTTAATTTTAATCCCAAATTTATCACTTAAAAGCATCATATCTGTGGGTTTATTTCACAGATTGGTGTTTCTTGGGTTTTTACAAAATATTTTTTTTTATCTAAAAGCTATCACTGATAAGTATTTTGTGAGTTGAGTTTGTCTTGGTTTGGCGATTTTTAAAGAATATTCTTTCTTCCTTCTTTTTTTAAAATTATCACTTCTTCTTTTTTCTTTCCTCTACTCCTGGAATGCCTTGCGGTGTCAGGGCAGGAATAGATCTCTGGAACGGTGTCACATACCGCTCCTGTCACGTGCCTGATTTAAGGATTTCTCCTTAAGAACCAACAGCACTCTGAAATAATAATGTTGAGTCGTTGGCTCGTATTGGTCTAAGGGATACCCCGTGGCCAATATACGCTCAACTTATTTCAGGAGTAGGGCAACTCAAGCTTCCCCACTACAAAATATATAATATTCCTAGGCACACTTGGCTGGAGACCCCCACTACTATAAAAAGGTAGCCCCCAGGTTATGATAGTATACTATCATAGCCATGTTAACACAGATTACACTTATTACTCACACAAACATAAAAGCTAGACAGTTTGAATGGTGAAACAGGGACTCCCAAGTCAGCCATGAAAATTTCTGCATGTAATAAGTACAATATATATACATATATTAATGAATAGATCATCAAGAATGTTCAGTGAATGGAGTTCAGGAATCAATGACACAACCCAGATGTTGAAGCAACCAGATGTAGTTCTTGGATATTACATGAGTTCATCATAGGAACCACAAGGAGCTGTGGGAAGAAAGCATGTATGTAATTAAGATATCAGTTATCCCAGTTCGTAGGTCACTGCTTCCCTCAGTCCATGGTGACTGTGGTTGACTCAATAGGTAGCTATGCTTCGATTTGATCTGGTACAAGCTGACTGTCTCACAAGTGAGGACACAGGAACTGCATAGGAGCCCAACAAAGCTCTTGAAGACTGTGGTGCCCGCTGACTGTCTCACAGATGAGGACACAGGAACTGCATAAGAGCCCAACAAAGCTCTTGAAGACTGATTCTCTGGATTGATTACATGTCTGCAGTTGTCCACTAGTCCTGGAACTCAAAACAAGCTCTTGCCATGTTGAGGTAGTGGTACTATAGGTAGGACTTTTGGGTATACTTGGTGCCCAGAATGGTATGGGTTGGTGGTTGTTGGCTGGACTGTGATTCGTCTGCCTGATCTCTAAGGAGGTATCATCCTGTCAGGAAAGAACTCAGAATTAGTAATCAACTTTAATCACACACCAGCTCACCCCACACTCTGCTACCCTTTTCCATTCCTCAGAGTGTAACTCTCAAGAACAGGAGACAATGTCTCCTTTCATTTATCTGTCTGTAAATTAGTACACCAGATAGAAGACAAGGTATATAGTGGAGATAGATAGACACTACCACACATAGATCATCCTCTCTCCACCCTCACATATGCTCTCGCAGACATACAGTGTACCCTGTTCGTACCTATATATATATATATATATATATATATATATATATATCACGTTTCCACAGGCTGCTGTTACACACCCGATATTTCCGTGCCAAACACACCTTTGACTCAGAGCGTCTAGCTCTGACGTCACAGCAGTTAACTGTTAAAAGATGACCCAGATTCCATATTTCTGCTAGGAGTCACAAAACTTCATTTGTCTAGTCAGAGAATAATTACTTGTAGTGTTTAATATCTTTACAAATGGTGTGGGTTATGTAGAGCACAAACTATTTAGTCTGCACAGGGAAAGGTTTAATGTTCGGAGCCTGATCTCTGGACATCAAGAAAGGCCCAACTCTGTGCGATCACACAGCTGAATCTTCCCTCTCTGCAGCAGTGGCCAACTTTAAAAAGACATATATTATGGTACTTGTAAACTATAATCAACTTACCCAAGCTTAGGAACTCTTCAAAGATAGAACTGTTACTTTGAATGCGCCAATTTTATTCATAGACTGTATACACGTCTTGACACTTAGGAGACCAGGCGAAAGAATGCCGCTCAAAACTACGCTTGTCGTCTCTAGGAAAGAAGTCCATGTATTCATGCCCTAGGAGTAAAAAGAGGCTTACAGGAATTTCTGAATTAAACACCAGAAATCTCCAGCCCACAGTTGCAAGTTTGAAAATGAAGATTTCTTAAAGCAACTGGAGGGTCTAGAAATGAATATTTCACCAGATAAAGGTATATATCAATATAAGGGACTATATACCCCTCCAGGACGGGTTTAAGTTTGAAATGTGACTGCCTGCTTAGGGAAGTCAGCGTCACGACTTGTCCATCATGTAGGGTTGGCTGTTCACCCCACGACAAACGGGCCCTTCTGTTCGCTTCATGTAAAGTATTTTTTCAGGGATATTTAAAAGTATCAAATAAGTCTCTGAATAACACACTGGTGTCTTGTGAGTTTTTATAAAAGTTTTTTTCCTCTGTTTTATTTTAAAGTTGTCACTTTCAAGCATCATATATGTTTGTATTTTTATCAGATTGGTGTGAAGAGCAACAGCCGGCCACCAACATACTTAGGCTTATCTACCAGGGTCGGTTTTTACATGGCAACGTGACTTTAACAGGTAAATTTATTTGTTTCTTGATGAGGTCAGTGTGAGTTTTGAATATGTATGGTCACTACTTGGTTGGGGGAACTGATTTACTGTTCTTCTGTTTCTGCATTTTTCCTGAAAATTTATTGTCCCGAGAAGGCTAAATCTAGTCCCTTCTGGTTGTGATTTAGCCCCGTAAATGCAAAATATCACTTCTTTTTCTTCTTCTTTCATCTGCTTGATATATATTACCTGTATCTATAATGGTATCTCTGTTATGAACTTCACTGTCTTTTGCATTTCACTTAGCGGCCCGTAAAATTTGGCCTCCTCCAGTGTCTCTCTTGGCCAGAAGTTTTCCTGGAAATGTTGTATTTTTGACAGTCTTGGATAGTGAGATCTGTTGTCTCATGTACCAGTCCTTATGTGCACATGACTGATTTGCCAGGTTTAAATTTTGTGTACATCTGGCTGCTAAGTCAATTGTGCCCAGTTCCAAGACGTAGAGTAATGACTTGCTCTGGTATATCCATAATATAGAAATCATCTTGTGCCAGTTTTGGGGGCTTTCTGATTGACTTGATTATTCTCTTCTTCCGTTGATAAGAGACTGGTATGTGAGGTTGTTCAACAGTTGCACCTTCTTTAGATAGTTTATCAGCTCTTTCATTTCCTGGAACCCCACAGTGGGACGGTATCCATTGCACTGGTTGACTAGTTCAGATAGTAGTGTCAAAATACCTAGTAGTTTTCCAGACTAGGGTGACTCAATATTTATGTAAACATCAGATCATGAGTCTCATGATACATATGTTTAGTTAGACCTTGGGGAATTTATTCAACACTTGACCCGTTTGTTTATTTTCTTAGTCTTACTGGGTTGAGAGGGTTCAATCAGATGCTATGAAATCCTGTGTGGCACTCACTGTGCAGCAGTGTTGTGCCTGAATCGTGTAGTCATTATACGATTTGGCACACACAAAATTGGCACACCAAGGACATGTGGTTGTTTGTTCATTGAGGTTCCAGCATCTCTGCAGACAGGTCTTCCCCCAACCACCCCAGAACTCTTCCATTCATGTGCCAGTGGAAATCACACAAAATGTCCTTCACTCTCCCATGACAAAACCAGTGAAAACTTGTCATCCCAGCAAGCTCTTGAAACTTGCATGTGCAAAGTAAAAATGCATAAGGCAGCTGTCATATGTGCCAATACACCAATGGTCCCTTTTTTTTTAATGAAAGCGTGGGGCGTCTACATAACTAATTATATAATTCTAATCAACCTTTCCAGGTCACTGTCATTATAATTATGATTTAGTATTATGTCTACACAGTGGGCGCCCAATGCTTTCATTAATCGTTGTATAAATTTGTAGATGAATGTTGGTAAAGATAATTAGCTGAACTCGGTTATCAAGTAAATTATATGATAAGATATACCTACAATATAAATTAGATAAAACACACCATTGTTAATATATTATGTTCAACATACCATAGTATAAATTAGTTTAGCATTTATATCTTTTTAGTGCACTTGTTAATTCTATTTGAGGTAAGTAATAGAAAGCTAATTTTATAAAAAGTTTTTTTAATGTTTTATTTTAAATTTCAAAATGACCTTGGCTCCTAGTCACCCAGACCTTGAGTGGGTATCAGGTACAGTCCTGGGAAGTAAAGGTGTCCGGCGTGATGCTGACCACATCACCCATCAAGTGCAGATTGGCCTATAAAATGTAGGTCTAGCCCTATAAGCCCAGTACTCCAAAAGGTGGGGAAAAGGCTCCTTTAGCTTTTATTTACCACCACAGGAATCTAACTCTAGTACACCAAGGATTGTAGTACATGCTTACTAACCTCTGTGCTACACAAACTATTGCCATCAGTAAAAGTAAAGGACTTCTCTAAGCAAGTGGATTTTAAAGCATATGGTGCGAGACGTATTTTTTACAGAATAAATGGCATTTGGTGGGTGATGTGGTCAGCATCATGCTGGCCTCCTTTACTTTCCAAGATATTTCCTGGAACCTATTCTAGCTGAACTCACCTGACAGCCAAAGGTAATCTTTTTTCTTAAATCCATCTATTGCGGATTCAAACCTATGATCTTTAGGCCGGCAGGCAAGAAAAGTGTTGTGATAATTGATGTCAGTTGAAACTGTTTCTTTTTCTGTGGCAGCCCTTCAGTTACCTACTGGAAAAACAACTGTGATGCATCTTGTGGCAAGGGAAAACCTGCCGGAGCCCAACAACCAGGGTAGGTTGCGTCTTTATCTTGTCATCCTCTGATTTGAACATTGTTTCCCTGTGTGGGTTCCAGAATCCCATTTTTAGTTGGAAATATGAATAGACCCACTGCCACCCTAATAAGCATGACATGAAAGGCATTTTTCCTTAAAATTCGGAGTACGTCTGCTTAGAAGGTGAGAAATTGACAGTCTGCATTCAATTAAGTAATATCTGTAAAACAGATGAGAGTGCAAAACTGAAGTTTTAAAACAAGACCAAGAGTCCAGAAGCTCAATGTATGAACTCACAAAGAGATTACCTGCATCAGAAGGAGATGATCTACATTAGTTGGGCATATGAGAAGGGGTGAAAATACAGGGTGTGCGCTTTCATAAAAAAAAATTTATTTTTCCTATGTATGGAAACTTATGGGGCAACCTGAAGTTTTCCCTTCTAACGTGCCCAAATAATGTAGGTTGTCTCCTTCTGATGCAGGTAATATGTAGATTGTCTCCTTCTGGTGCAGGTAATATGTAGATTGTCTCCTTCTGATGCAGGTAATATGAAGATTGTCTCCTTTTGATGCAGGTAACATGTAGATTATCTCCTTCTGATGCAGGTGATATGTAGATTGTCTCCTTTTGATGCAGGTAATATGTAGATTGTCTCCTTCTGATGCAGGTGATATGTAGATTGTCTCCTTCTGATGCAGGTAATATGTAGACTGACTCCTTCTGATGCAAGTAATATTTAGATCCTTTCTCCTTCTGATGCAGGTAATATGTAGATTGTCTCCTTCTATCTTCTGTCTCCTTATGATGGTCGGCTCTGTGGCTAAGTCGATGCGAACACTTTGTAATGCCGGGATGCCGGGTTCAATCTAAGCAGCGGGCCACGCGCCTTGCGTTGGTTTCGATAGTGTTATCAAAGAAGCCAACCGTTCAGAAGCAGTGGCAAACTACTGGACCGAAATTTGCCTAGAAAAACCACACAACAGCCGAGGCTAATGGGGGTTGGTTCTGCAACGTCCTGTAAAGGATACACAACTAACCTGTCCTTCTGATGCAGGTAATATGTAGATTGTCTCTTTCTGATGCAAGTAATTCTTTCTAAGAAGATATTAAACAGTAGTGGGGCCAGAAGGTAGCTCTAACTCCTACTGTTGTTCAGAACTAGCTTCCTAATTGTCTATTCAAAGTGACAGCAGTACTGGCTTTGGCATAAAGCTGTTCTGTACTACATATGAAGGTGTTACACATGGTACTTTTTCATGGGGAAACAAATATATCTTTCTCCCTTTAATTCTTATGAAGAAATGTGTTTGGAAATGTCCTTTTTGATATAAATCTAAGGATATGGAACGGATTAAAGAAGTGCCACTGTACCTTAGATTGTATAGTCGGACAGTAGCTGATTTGACATACCTGGCTATGCTGGAGCAAAAGGTTTTGAATGAGCGGACTTCCTGGCAAGTATTGCACGGCTACATGGGAGGAAGAACTATGGACGGAGCTAATTATGATCCTCACTGTACAGACTAGGCTGGGGGCACTAATGAATCTCTGGCATGATTAAGTGACCTGGTAGTAAAGCCTGGTGAAGCACGTCTTTGATGTCAAAACAGATGACATTATAACCAGTTTCTCATGGAAACAATCAGTAGGGTCATGTTAGGATGGCTGATTCATCGAAAGACTGAGCATGCATGGGAATGCCCAGTGTGCAGTGGCGCCAAATGTGATAACATAATGTTAATTATATGTTGGGACCTAAAAAGGAAGTTAAAAAAACACATCTGTCTGATTGTTGTTTTGTTTTGTGTGTCTTACCTTAGGACAACTGAAGAAAGACAAGAGTGGAGAAACCGGTTGTCACAACTGCTGTGTTATACTCTAGTGAGGTTTCAACACACAGATGGAAGGGTTGTGACCCTTCCTTGAAGTTCCGTTGTTCTTTTTTTTTTGATACAGTCGTCGCACTCTTTCAGTCAGTCAGTCATTCACCCGGTCAAACTGGCAAGTCAGACTGATAGTCGACTTAGTCTGGTTTTGGTCGAGGTTTAAGGTTGCATTTTCTTTGTTGTACATTGTGAACATGATGATTTGTTGATGCGTGCTTGCTGTGAGGTTCAGTTTATTCTTGGAAAGTGTATGTTTAAGGTTGCATATTCTTTGTTGTCCATTGTGATGGTGCACGGTGGCTTTAAAGTACAGTGTATTCTTGGCAAGTCATATGAAAGTGATGATGTTGCACAGGTGTTTGTAAGGTACAGTGCATTTCTTGGTAAGTGCATTCTTGGTAAGTATAAATTTAACTCTGTCCCCCTGAGAATCTGAAAAATTAACACTTCCGGTCGAGTCCGATGAACCCAGTTTCCCATAAATGTCACTTTTCCGACTTGTCTCTCATGACCTGTTTGTGAGATGCATAGTTAATGCTATTGGCTAAGTTCCTGCCTGTGCGAACATTAAAGAGGTCAGGATATGAATTCACTAACTAACAGTAGCGGGGGGGGGGGGGGGGGGGGGGGGGGGGGGGGGGGTCCCTTTAAACTAAGGGGGAAGGGGGGGATTTAAATCTAATGCAGAGTTTACATCAGAATTTCTTATAAGCCTCAGTAATAGAGATCGCACCATGAGTGACCAGATATGTGTGTGTGTGTTTTCAGGCCCCACTTAATGTATTCTGTTCTAATGCTAAAACCTGTACGTATTTATGGATTACTACTTTCATATATTTTGAAAAATAGTTTGAAAATGTAGATTAATATGTTTAAAAAAATTTTTATTTATGGTCTGTTTAAGGATTGTTGTTTTGTTTCTGGAATTCTAACGAGGTCATCACCGTGTTTTTTTTTTTTTTTAGGGTTCTTATGGTGAAAGGGATTAAGGTTGCGTTTTCTTGGTTGTAAATTGTAAAACTGATACGCTTGCTTGCCATCTTATATTGGACTAAAGGTTACTTGCTAACCTTAAAGGTGCCCTTATGCAGTTGAACAGTTTCTGGGATTTTCTCCTGTTTGATTCTCATCTTTGAGGTGTTAATCCTACAGACAGCAATCCTACAGGGACCAATGACCAACCATGATGGTGCATTAGTGCAGGGATGTTTCTGGCAATTTGTGCTATAGAGTATTGATGCATACTTGTTTATGAACTTCTAGTGCGTTCTTGGCCAAGTTTTATGAGAGTGTATTGTATGATAGTGTGTTGATGTACAGTTGTTTTGGAAGTTCAGTGCATTCTTAGCCAGGTTGTATGATAATGTATTGATGTACAGTTGTTTGTGAAGTTCAGTGCATTCTTAGCCAGGTTGTATGATAGTGTATTAATGTACAGTTTGGAAGTTCAGTGCATTCTTGGCCAGGTTTTATGATTGTGTATTGATGTACAGTTGTTTGTGAAAATTATGCATTCTTGGCCAGGTTGTACATATGGAGCAGGTGTGAATCTTGAAAATGGAAGCACTAAGAGGAGGAATGCAGATTTCCTGGGACCCATTTCAGACTGAAATAAATTGAGCTCAGCTAATTTATAGAAGGTCCAGTTCGATGCCTGGGAGCAAGGTACATCCCAATTTGCTACAGCCCTAGGTCCCTCGGGTTATAACCAGTTTGTAAGGTTCAGTGGTTTATGTTTCAGTAGGATTGGCATACAGAATGTGGCTTGCCAGGTGGCTGTGGTATCAGACTTTTGGGTGGGGGGGGGGCATACATTAGATCCATCATTTTGTAATCTTCTTCTTCTTTATTCACCCTTTAAAAAAAGTGGCTGGCACATTGCGCTGAAATTTACTGCTTGGCTGCGATATCTGATTTTGGAAAACCTTCAATTATTAACCTTTTACAGCATGCTTTGTAGGGGCAGTGGGTCATTAAAAAAAAGGTATATTTTACCATGGGGCCCCTAAAACTTACACAGGGACTCAACAGTCAATTTAGTTTTGTCATTGCCTATTTACTTATACTGCGGTGGTTTCCTCATACGTTCCACAATAACATAAGGGATGTGAGAAAGGCATAAGAGCCATATCTACTCCTTGAGATGTTTTGGGCGACATTTATCTGTTATAGTAGCTGTCAAGGGAGGAGTGGCTGGTTGAGTAATTAGAGCACTGGGCTTTCATATGGGGAAGCCCAGGTGTGATCTTCCGAAGGGATGTAGATTATATTCGGTGGGGGGGCAGGAAAAAAAATCCAAGCCTGCACAGTTTGTGGGGACTGCACTAGCTGTGCTACCTCAAATCCTCTGGCTTACAATGCCAACCTCCCCCTTTCTCTTTAACACCAACGTAAATGTGGTAGTTCATCATCATCACTTTCCACTTTTGCCATAGGAATCTTGGGGAAGAACTGTTTGTGATCCATTGTTCAACTTCTTACTTTTACAGTAACTACTTTCATTCCATATTGATGCAGAAGATCTTTGATATCATCAACCCATCTTCTCCTAGGGAAACTATTGATTTCACAGCAGATCTTTTCATGTGTAGCGCCTATGTTGGTAGTTGCTGTGGCTATATTCTTATGATATGATGGAACCATTTGATCCTCTGTTCCTCAAACTATTTGATTCATGTTGTTTCCAGTCTGTCTGATATTATCTCACAATGTCTCCAACAAAAGTGCTAAATACAGGCAGTCAAAACAGTAGCTTATGACACCCCCCCCCCCCCCCCCCCCCTTTTTCTCCCCTTTCCTTCCCTGTATGTGCATTCCAAGATAAAATGATTGGTTGATTGTGATTAGTTGTTTCCAAAGAACAAGATCAGTCTGTGTAAATTAACGCATGTTGAGAATGAATATGTTTTAAATGTCATTTGATTCTGGCATGCCTTGTTTGAAACTGGAAAATTAACGTAGATTTTCTTTTCTCAGTTTTGGTTTAACTTTTGTGATATACAATCAGCAATATTATCGTTAAGAGCAATTTGAGTTTTGACTTTTTAAATTTACATCTCTTCTTCTGACTGGTGAGTCCATATGTTTGCTCAGCAGTAGCATATTGGAGATGTGGTGGCGTAGTGATTAGCTGCTCTCTGCTGGCACAATTGTCTTGGTTTCAAATCCCCACTGGGTGGATGTGATTTGTTGTTTTTTTGTGTGTAAATTACCTTAGCTTTGAGGTTGACTCTGCCTTTATTCTTTTGACCATGTGAGTTCCAGTGCAAGCACATTCTATTTAGATTATTAGGTTTTCTCAGTATGTCATATCTGACACCACCAATTTTTTTTTTTCCTCACCTCAGTATTCACTGGAATTTGTTTAGTTCTCTCTGAAAGCTTTACACCAGTGATTCTGTTACCTTTTTTCTGCATGTTGTCCTGAAAATGGGTACAGATAATGTCTTGGGGGGGGGGGCATGAATAAAGGTAGCTGTGATGCTGACCACATCACGTGCCAGTTAGTCTAACAAAATATGCGCCTTGCATCATATGCCCTCTGCACCACTGCAAAGAGATAACTACCTGGGTGGCTTGGCCATATGGCTGGGGCAAGACAGGAACACTGACCTGATTCATAAGGAGTATGGTGATCACATGAGATGGCAAAACATTGGTAGTGTGTACAAGCAACAGCATTGGTAATGTGTACAAAAACCCCATTGGTAGTGTTTACAGGCAACAGTATTTTATAATCAAGCATTCACAAATGCTCATTGTAACATGACAAATAAACACAATATACGGAGACAAAAATTCGCTTTATTCACATTTTTTATTTGCTTTTCATGTTGAAATATTTGGTCGGTCATTAAAAATGTACTCCTATTTAGCTAATTTAAACATGTCCCCAACATTTTATTGCACTGATATTAAAAAATTCACTAAGAACTGAAAGAAAAAAGATGATGGTTTTAGAACATTTGAAATTTATAAAAATAGCCTTTAAAAATTCAAGATGGCCACCATGATTATGACATATTTGCATAATATATCTTTTTTCATGCATAGCAACCATCCGTAATGATGCTCTGGAAGTTTCAAAACGCTACTCTCGTTTTTGAATTTTTTAAATGAATTTTATTAGAAAACCAGTCATTAAAAAAAAAAAAATCTCCAAACGCTTTTGATAATGGGACAATAATGCCCCGGATTGCTGGTCAGCGAAGTGTTAATCACAACATCTTGTAAGTGATTTTATCTTTCCAAATTGTATCTCACCAGCCTAGTGCATGAGGATCAGCTGACTCAACATTTACATTGTTGTGCTCCCATCAGGGAGATAACTGATTGAGGAATCAACATCTTAGCACATCGGGCATCCCCATAAATGCTTCCTCGCCTACAGCAAATGTCCGAAAGTGTAGGTGCTAACAGATCCCATAGCACGCTGATTAAACATAATCTCCCTTCTACTCTTCCTCTCATACGTCCCTCCTTGCCAGATCCACTTCTAATTCCATGTTTACATATTCTTATACATGTTATTTCACCTAGCCTCGTAGCTTCTATCAGGATTCACTCATACATGGTTTTCAGAATGTTTCCTTAGTCCAATATGAGTATTCTTGTAGCTTTCACTTTTGTAGCCCAAACATCTGCTCTTTCATGCCCTTGCTGTCCTTCATATTCCTGACAGTATATGAAAGTGAATCCCTGTAGTATTGTCATAAAGGAGACCCAAAGTAAATCTACTTTAAGATTATGTGGTGTGGTTTACAGCTTGGCTGCAATATCTATGCCGTTAGGGCCAACTTATCCGATTTCAGAAAACCCCTAATTAGTGGCCTTTTATGACATGTTTGTTAAGGGGCGACCCAGGGTCTCTTCCTTGTTCTTCTAGAACAGAGGCCTGGAACCTACAGGGAAAAAGAGGCGGAAGGGGGGAGTAAAAGTAAAAAGTAAAGATCCCTTTTCACGCCTTTCGGCGCATCGGGCATATGGGCAGAGCGTC